CAGTACCACACTGTCTTGATGACCACAGCTTTGTAGTACAACCTGAAATCTGGCATTGTGATGCCCCCAGCTATGGTTTTCTTTTTTAAAATTTCTCTGGCTATTCGGGGTCTTTTCTGATTCCACACAAATCTTAAAATAATTTGTTCTAACTCTCTGAAGAAAGTCCATGGTATTTTGATAGAGATTGCATTAAACATGTAAATTGCCCTGGGTAACATTGACATTTTCACAATATTAATTCTGCCAATCCATGAGCATGGAATATTTTTCCATCTCTTTGTGTCTTCCTCAATTTCTTTCAGAAGTGTTCTATAGTTTTTAGGGTATAGATCCTTTACCTCTTTGGTTAGGTTTATTCCTAGGTATATTATGCTTTTGGGTGCAATTGGAAATGGGATTGACTCCTTAATTTCTCTTTCTTCAGTCTCATTGTTAGTGTATAGAAATGCCACTGATTTCTAGGCATTGATTTTGTATCCTGCCACACTGCCAAATTGCTGTATGAGTTCTAGCAATCTTGGGGTAGAGGCTTTTGGGTTTTCTAGGTAGAGTATCATGTCATCTGCGAAGACGGAGAGTTTGATTTCTTCTTCACCAATTTGAATGCCTTTATTTCTTTTTGTTGTCTGATTGCTGAGGCTAGGACTTCCAGTACTATGTTGAATAGCAGTGGTGAGAGTGGACATCCCTGTCTTGTTCCTGATCTTAGGGGAAAGGCTCCCAGTGCTTCCCCATTGAGAATTATATTTGCTGTGGGCTTTTCGTGGATGGCTTTTAAGATGCTGAGGAATGTTCCCTCTATCCCTACACTCTGAAGAGTTTTCATCAGGAATGGATGCTGTATTTCATCAAATGCTTTCTCTGCATCTAATGAGAGGATCATATGGTTCTTGGTTTTTCTCTTGCTGATATGATGAATCACATTGATTGTTTTACGAGTGTTGAACCAGCCTTGTGTCCCGGGGATAAATCCTACTTGGTCATGGTAAATAATTTTCTTTTTTTTTTAATAAATAATTTTTATTGGTGTTCAATTTACCAACATACAGAATAACACCCAGTGCTCATCCCGTCAGGTGTCCCCCTCAGTGCCCGTCACCCATTCACCCCCACCCCCCGCCCTCCTCCCCCTCCACCACCCCTAGTTCATTTCCCAGAGTTAGGAGTCTTTATGTTCTGTCTCCCTTTCTGATATTTCCCACACATTTCTTCTCCCTTCCCTTATATTCCCTTTCACTATTATTCATATTCCCCAAATGAATGAGAACATACACTGTTTGTCCTTCTCCGATTGACTTACTTCACTCAGCATAATACCCTCCAGTTCCATCCACTTTGAAGCAAATGGTGGGTATTTGTCATTTCTAATGGCTGAGTAGTATTCCATTGTATACATAAACCACATCTTCTTTCGATGGGCACCGAGGCTGTGAATAATTTTCTTAATGTACTGTTGGATCCTATTGGCTAGTATCTTGTTGAGAATGATTCATCTCCTTTGTTAATCTTTCCAAAGAACTAGATTTTATGTTTCTAAGAGATTTAATTGATTTTTAAAGTAATCTCTTCACACCAAACTTGGGGCTTGAACTCACAACCTCAAGACCAAGAATCTCATTCTCTACTGACTGAGCCAGCCAGGGGTCCCAAAGAAACAGCTTTTTGGCTTAACCCTTGTTCTACTGTTTTTCTCTTTCCATTCCATTAATTTCTAATCTAAGTAAACTGTCCAAAAATAAAAGAAGACCTAATCCACATGTTCAAAGATACCACCTGGAAAACCTGGCATGGAATGGTTTGCTGAAGACATCCTTTAATAAAAGTACTAGACCTTACAGATGAAGAGAAAGTTTTATCTGTATTATTGTAAATTTATTTTTGTGTTTATCTGTTTTTATCTGTATTATTTCCCTATTTGTGCTTTCTACTTCATTCTTTTATGTTACTTTTGTTTTCTTTTGTTTTTATTTTTTGAATCAAGGATTCAATTGTTTTTCATTCTTTTCACCAATACAAAACATTTAATGCTATGAAATCTCTGATCAGTATGCATATCCCATATTTACTAGTAAGTAATACTTTCATTAGTTTTTTTGTTTTAGAACTTCAGCTTTTGTTTGTTTCCTTTTTCACCAATGAATAGTTTGCTAGAGAGCTGGTTTTTTTGAAGTCCCGATGGAAGCTTATTCTTCCCCAATAAGTTCTAGTTTTACTGTATTATTACCTGAGCATGTTACGCATATCAGTGTTTTTAATGTTTCATGCACCCTTGAGATGAAAGTGTAATTTTCTATTAAAAGTTTTGACATTATAAAATCAAATATGGGTCATGATATATGTCTTCTTAATTGTTGTCATTAAGTCTTTTACCCCCCAACTTTCTGCTTTTTGATCTTTCTTGAAATATCCTTTTACATAGTGTATTTTATTTTTTCCTTGCTTTTCTGAGTTCTGCTCCATGAAAGATTTTTGGACTTTAGATTTTATAAATGTTAATTTTGCATTCAAAATTGAGGATTTATCTTTGTAAAGTGGTTTTTCTGTCCTTTCTGGCAACAGATTTACCTCTCTCCTTCCTTATTGTTTCCCTTTGTTTGGAATAATATGGTCCATGCTTTTGGTTTTAGCCTTTTTGAGTAAGTCTCTATAATTATGTTTCTCATCTACAGCATTGATTTAGGTTTTTGTTTGTGACTGTTGACTGAAGTCATTTTGTTAATTGGTGAGTTAAACCCTTTCACATTTGTTAATATGACTCATAGTTGGTCTCATTTCTGTCATATTGTTACATTTAATGAGTGTATCACATTTACTGAATTATTTGTTTGGTCTTTGTTTCATTTTGGAGAGAGTTAGGGAATTTTGATGTTTTTGTTCTCAGAATTACTTTTACACTAATATGTTTTATACTGCCCTTAGTTGCCCATTTCCTAATTTAACACTCTATTTGATTTTTCAGCTTTTAGTGACATTCTTTAGGTGATTACTTATGTGGCTATCTCTGTGTATTCTTATATTCTTCTGTTCTTTTTCTGTTTCCTATAGCTTTTCTAGTTGCATTATTTCTACTTCACTAGAACCTGTAGCATTTACATATATATATATACATATTTTTATTTTATTATTTGAGAGCAAGAGTAGAGAGAGAGAACAAGAGAGAGTGAGCACACAAGTGGGTGGAATGGCAGAGGGAGAAGCAGACTCCACACTGAGCCAGAGGGGGTCTCGATCCCGGAGCCCTGAGATCACGACTTGACCCTATATTAGACACTTAACCAACTGAGTCACCCAGGTGTCTCTGACATTTATATATTATTCTTCTGTTCTTGTTCCCAATTTTTTTTTTTTTTTGGTCTTAGACCTACAATAAAATGTATCCACTGCTTAGTTTTTCTGCCAGTGTTTCCTGTCAAATCCTTGACTTTCTTTTAACCCGAAAATGTTGCTCCACTGAGCTTCACTTTGTTTATTGGTGACAGAATCTATTGCAAGACCTACATTTTTGTTTGTTGAGAGTTATTCTTTTTGCCCAAAAGACATTTCTTCGGTTTTAAGGTCTAATAGTTTTTTTTTGAAGTGTGTCTTAGTACTGTTCAGGTTAGCTTTCCCAGGTTCATGGTGGTCCTTTAGAATAGGTGGATGCTTAATTTATGGTTTTTAATATTTATTCCGTGTGTTTTTCTCTGTAGAGACTATAATCATATGTATAATTGTATTTTAAACTATATTAATTTTGCTGACTAAATTTTTTATCCAGGGCTTTCTTATTGATGCAGTTGTTCTTTCATTAGTTTTATTGTCATTCTTTGTTGTCATGCCTTGCTTCAGTGCTATTTACCAAAATTTCAGTGAAGTCTCTTTTTCTTTTGTGCTCTTTATTAGTCTGCCAGGACTTCAATAACAAAACACCACAGACTGGATCACCTAAATAACAGAAATTTATTTTCTCATACTTCTGGAGTCTGTAAGGCCAAGGAGAAGGTGCCAGCAGGGTTGGTTTCTGCTGAGCCCTATCTCTTTGGCTTGCAGACAGGACCTTCTTGATATATCCTCACATGGCTTTTTTTTCTGTGCACATAATGGAAGCAAGCAAGTGCTGGTGTCTCTTCTGCTTCTAATAAGGATACCATTGTATCAGTACCACATCCTGATGCTCTAAACTCAGCCTTAATTGCCTGCCTAGGCCTCTGTCTCCAGATGTAGTTGCATTGGGGATTAGGGCTTCCAACATACGAATTTGGGAAGACAGTTCAGTTCATAACCTGCTCCTTGTAATTCAAGTCTATTCTAAGATCACTGTGTCCTTTTTAGGATTTTATTCCTCGTGTGGATTCCCATATACTACAAGTCCCTTTTGTTGGAGTTCCCAGTGGCCTAAGTTATCATCTATCAGAACTGAGATGTCATCTCAGTATTTTCCCACTCATACTAGAACTTCCCCTTTCTGGGAGTGATTTTATTTGGATTTAATTATCTCTGAGTTTTCTGTCTTTTCTTTAGGTGTGGTTGCCATGACTCTAGATGACTCTTAAATGGATGTGAGCTCATTATCAGTTTCTTCTGTATTTAAATGTTTTTTTCCCTAGTGGCAATTTGAAGTTAGTAGTATTTTGTATCTCCTACTTATGCTGAAGTCATGGGTTGTTGTAGGTAATTTTTATTTGCTCTCCTTGTATCAACCCATACAGTTTTCTGGAGGATAAATGGACACATTCAGATTTTAGCAGCTCTTATTATTATTTTTCAGACATCACAATGCAGATGTATGTGTTATGATAGCCAGTTTCCTCTCCCTTTTTCCACTATGCCAGGCTTTTTTTTCTTATTTTCATTTTTGTTCTTTCGTGTCAAACCCAAGAATAGGAAAAATATGTACATACAATTATTTTCTTCTCAGGAAACTAGATAAGAAATCTAAATCAGCATTTTTATATATGTTGCATTCCATAAGAAATACGTTAATATTTATATGTAAGGTTGACTTTTCTTATTTTTAGAATCCTGGGAAACTGATCACAAGAAAGAAAGGAGCCAAGAAGACCAGCCTAAACATGTGTGGGAAGTTGCATTCATTAATAAAACACTGACTAAAGAACGAGGTAATGGAGAAAAACCACTTACCTTGAATGCAGACTCTTTTCCTTCCAAAAAGATCCTCTGTCAATGTGACTCACGTGGAATGAGTTTCAACTGTGTTTCAAAATTATTTATCAATAAGAAAAACTATTTAGGAAAAGAGACTGATGAATATAATGCTTTTGGAAATTTGCTACTTGATATTAAACATGAGAAAACGCATTCTCAAGAGAAAAGTGGGTTTTTTAGAAATGGGAAAATTTTGAATCATGATGAGAACCCTGTTCACCATAAGAAGATTCAAACTTTAGAGCAAAATTTTGAGTATAACATTTATCAAGAAACCTTCCTTGAAAAGGCAATATTCAGTCCATACATGAGAGAAATTGCAGAAGGGAATGACTGTGAATGTGATGAATATGGGAGAACCTTCTTTGATAACTCTTCCTTCTTACTACATCAGATGAATTCCTCAAAGGAAAATCACTATGGATTTAGTGGTTGTGGAAAATCCCTGTATGTGAAGGCTACCGTTTTGAAACATCATGGGCCACATAGGAAACACTATGAATGTAATGGAAGTGGGAATAATTTCCGGAGGAATTTATGCCTTTCACAACTTCAGAAAACTCATAAAGGAGAGAAACACTTTGAATGTAATGAGTGCAGGAAAGCATTTTGGGAGAAGTCCCACCTCACTCGACATCAGAGGATACACACAGGAGAGAAACGCTTTCAATGTAATGAATGTGGAAAAACCTTCTGGGAGAAGTCAAACCTCACAAAACATCAGAGATCACACACAGGGGAAAAACCCTATGTGTGCAATGACTGTGGGAAGGCCTTCAGCCACAAGTCAGCCCTTAGGTTACACCAGAGAACACATACGGGGGAGAAACCCTATCAGTGTAATGCATGTGGGAAAACTTTTTACCAGAAGTCAGATCTCACTAAACACCAGAGAACACACACAGGGCTGAAACCCTATGAATGCTATGAATGTGGGAAATCCTTCTGTATGAATTCACACCTTACAGTACATCAGAGAACTCATACAGGTGAGAAACCATTTGAGTGTCCTGACTGTGGGAAATCTTTCTGTCAAAAGTCACATCTTACACAACATCAGAGAACTCATGTAGGGAATAAACCCTACGAGTGTAATGCATGTGGTAAAACTTTCTACCACAAGTCAGTACTTACCAGGCATCAGATAATTCATACAGGTTTGAAACCTTATGAATGTTATGAATGTGGGAAAACCTTCTGCTTAAAGTCTGACCTCACAGTACATCAGAGAACTCACACAGGGGAGAAGCCCTTTGCATGTCCTGAATGTGGGAAATTTTTCAGCCATAAGTCTACCCTCTCTCAACATTATAGGACACATACAGGGGAGAAACCCTTTGAATGTCACGAATGTGGAAAAATCTTCTATAATAAGTCATACCTAACTAAACATAATAGAACCCACACAGGGGAAAAGCCCTATGAATGTAATGAATGTGGGAAAACCTTCTGCCAGAAGTCTCAGCTTACTCAGCACCAGAGAATTCACATAGGTGAGAAACCCTATGAGTGTCATGAATGTGGAAAGGCGTTCTGTCATAAGTCAGCTCTGATTGTCCACCAGAGAACTCATACAGAAGAAAAGCCCTATAAATGTAATGAATGTGGAAAATCTTTCTGCGTGAAGTCAGGCCTTATTTTACATCAGAGAAAACACACAGGGGAGAAACCCTATGAATGTAATGAATGTGGGAAATGCTTCAGTCACAAATCATCCCTCACAGTACATCACAGAGCTCATACAGGAGAGAAATCTTGTCAGTGCAATGAATGTGGGAAAATTTTTTACCGTAAATCAGACCTTGCTAAACATCAGAGATCACACACAGGGGAGAAGCCTTATGAATGTAACACATGTGGAAAAACCTTCTCTCAGAAGTCAAACCTCATTGTACATCAGAGAACACACACAGGAGAAAAACTTTACAATTGAAGTGGGTGTTAGGAATGTCGAGCTGCAGTTCAGCACCCATTATTACACTTCAGAGAATTCACACTGTGGAGGAACCTCTGTTGACATCCTGAATGTTCAGGAACCTTCTTCCACAAACTGGCTTTATGTTACTCCAAAGTAGAGTGCAACAAATATAGGGCAGTCTTGTTAAATAACATTTCACTGAATGTCATCAAGCAAATACTGGTATAAGACAGTAAAGATTTTTTGATTTTGCAGAAGTGTTTTTTTTAGCAAAAGTACAAACTAGGTTGTGTCAGATTTTATATTGAGAAACCTTTCAATTTGAGGTATATAGCTTGAAGATTATTTTTAGAAGTAATATAACATTAGAAGTTGTGTTTTGGGTTTTGATGTCATATTTATCTTTAGGAAACATAAAAAGTTTTAATTTGTAGATGTATATTGTGCAATGTAAAGCTTTAAAAACAAAAAAAAAAGTAGTAAAATGAAAAATCAACTTAAAAGAAGCTGCAGTAAGTACATAGAATTCTCATGTGCCCTTCATCAAGCTTCCTCTAATGCTGTCTTCTACAACCATGGTATATTGTCAAGCACATGACATTGATGGCACTACAGTACTCAGTCACACACAGTCCTTCCCACTTCAACAATGTTTACATGCACTTTGTGTGTATGTCTAGTTCTGTGAAATTTTATCACTTGTATTTTTAGTAACCACCAACACAGGTTACAAAATCAAAAGGGAATCTGGTGTCTCTGTTGCATTAGGATTACAAAGGAATTGGGATTTTACCATGAGAAGTTCCCTCGTGTTAATAATCATAATGCAACTTAATATAATTGTGAACAGAGAATAGACACCCCCTAATTTAGCTGTTACAATATCAGGCACATCTCCCATGTGCCTAAGAGCCTGGAGCATCCTTTTAAAAGTAGAGGCCCACAGAGCTAATGTGTAACCATTTAAAATGTATAAATCAAAATAAAGTGGCAAATAGGTTGTGTTCAGTGAAGGTTATCTAGTCCCTAGTGTCATTATCCCCTTTTACCCGTGGTTTGTGTCAAGCCATGAGGTGCCTTGAGTGTACATATGTGAGTCTTCTAGCCCTCAGCCTAAATTTTCTACAGACTTAACTCTGTAAGTTACTGCCCTATAAGCATGGGCTGGTGTACCCAGAGACAGATCGGAGCCCTTGGAGATTTTTTACTCTGAGAGGAGAGTGGTTTAAGACTGGAACAGATCCAGAATGAAGGTAGCTTGGGGCTTTTACTCACTGACACAGTAAAAAGTGATATACTAAATTCTACAATCAGGTTACATAAACCAGGTTATACAAACTAATGATCTTAACTTGCACAGAGAGTCTAAGCTTCTATCTTAGGAAATTAGGAAAAGGAGCTGATTAAATCCAGAGTAAATGAAACAAAAGAAATACGAATTCGAGCAGAAATCAGTGAAGTTGAAAACAAAATAGAGAAAATCAGTAAAATCAAAAGATAGTTGTTTGTAAAGATCAATGAAACTGATAAATTATTAGCTAAATTAACCAAGAAAAAGAGAAGATATAAGTTGCTAATATCAGAAATGAAGGAGAGCCATAACAGCTGATTCCATGGACATTAAAAGGATAATAATACTATGAACGACTCTGCACACAAATTTCATAGCCTGCCACACAATCTGCCAAAAGTCACAGAAGGATAAAGCTGAATAGCCATGTATCTATTAAGAAAGTGAATTAATACATAATCTTTCAAATCAGTATCACATCCAGATGTATTCACTGGTGAATTCTATTAGACCCTTCAGGAAAAAAATGATTCTCTAAAATCTCTTCCAAAAAGTAAGAGCAGAAGAAATACTTCCTAACTTGTTCTGTGAGGCTAGCATTGGTGTTGTAGCAAAACCAGACAAAGGCATCACAAGAACGGGAAACTGCAGACCTATATGTCTTACAGTTTCCTCACGTAGAAATCCTCAACAAGTCATAAGCAAATTGAACCCAACAATATATAATTTTGCAGTATGACCAAGTGGGATTTGTTCTACACGTGCAGTGCTGCTTCTACATTTGATAATCTGTTAATTTAACCCATCATATCAACAGGCAAAAGAAGAAATAATCACATGATCATATCAATAGGTACAGAAAAGCATTTCACAAAATCTTAACTCATATTCACAGTAAGAAATTTCAGTATACTAAGAATACAGGGAACTTCTTTAACTTGGTAAAGAACATCTACAAAAGCCCAATAGCTAACATCATACTTAATGGTGACAAACTAGATGCAGTAAGATAAGGAGGAAGGCAAAGGAGGCCCCCTTTGACCACTGTCTTTCAACCTCCTTCTGGAAGTCCTCACTAACACAGTATGAGAAGTAAAGGAAATAAACTTGGATTTGGAAGGAAGAGATAGAACTGTCTATATTTACACATAACATGATTCTCTAGGTAGAAAATTCCAAGGAGTCAACAGCAATATGCTTTGACACTAGTAAGCAATTATATAACAAGGTTATAAGATGCAGTGAGTAAAGGGATGGCAAAAAGCAATCATAGCTTTTTGTAACAGAAGTAACAAAAAATGGAGGAACCTTGCTGGCAAATTGCTAAATGAAAAAAGCCAGCCTGAAAAGGCTTTACACTTTGGTATCCATCTATAATGCATTCAGATACAAAAGCACAAGTATATGGAGATAGTAAAAAGATGTAGTGGTTGTCAGGGATTCAGGGCAAGGGAGGGAAGGATGAATAGGTGGCTTATAGAGGATTTTTGGGGCAATGAAACTATTCTGTAGGATATTATAATGATAGATACATGTCATTCATTTGTCAAAACCCATAAAGTATAAAATAGAAAGGGTAAAAACCCTATGTAAACTAGTTAGTAATAATGAATCAATATTGGCTCATCTGTTGTAACAAATGTACCACACTAATGCAAGATATGAATAATAGGGGACTATTTAGAGGGGGGTAGAAGTGAAGCAGTATGTAGGAACTCTGTGCTTTCTGCTCAATTTTTCTGTAACCCTAAAACTCCTCTAAAAATAAACCATATTGAATAAATAAACAACCCTTCCTGCATATAGCAATACAGATGAATCTGTGAAGGTGCTTTCTTACAATATTTAAAACTCACATTATTCAGTGACAGTTTTCCTATGGTGGGAGGCAGAGTGCATTCTCAGAAATCATATATTGATAGCCACTATAAAGCTAAAGCCTGTTTTCAGTATATAGCTTGCTGTTCTTGTAAGCCTTATCTTTTTTGAAAGTGTAAATTTCCTACATCTCTTCATAACATCTTGTTTCTATATCAAATTGTTCTTGACTGACTGGTTCTGTGATATGACAAAGGCCACTTGGGACAGAGCTACCAGTTGCTGGCAGGCCTACCTTTTGATGTGCACTGTACTGCCTTCTTTTGGGGGTGTTGCTGTGTCTTCCCACCCTAAAAGGCTCTTGTCCCTAAGAGAATTGTTAATTGGCTGTATTAAAGGAGATTTCCTTTTGGGTTCAGTTTGACTAGAGGTCTGAGGCAGGGACAACACAGGACCCCAACTGCAGTTGAGCCCCACCTACCAAGGGACTGGCTAGAACTCTCTGGTTACTGCATATAGTCTGGTGACCATCCCTGGCTATTCAGGGTGCCCACACATACCATTGTTTGTTATTGTGCACCACTGGGGTGGGCATGCAGATGGCCCTTTGTGAAATTTTGGAAAGGTAGCCCTGGAAGAATTAAGCATGGCATTTTTGTGGTCTAATGAGCTGTTGCACAGGTAGGGGCAGCAGCCTTCCCCCTCTCCTCTGCTGCTATTTCCTTTGCTGCCATTGCACACATGCCTGATGCCCAAGGGTGTTGAGGACATGTGCAATTTCCTGAGGCCCAGATGATGAGAAAAGAAAAGGCGATCCCTTCCAAATTACCAGAGGGAGTACCTCAAATGCTCTTCTAATATAAAACCTTTAGCCAGTGAACCTGAGGTCTGTTTAGAATTGCTATTTTATCAGTACATCAAAGGGCTAACCTTGGGATCTTGGAGCTTAATGGCCTTGACCTGGGCCATGGACAAAAGGCCCATAGTGTTTGTGAACCCTGACCCCAGAGAGATTGACCGGCATTCCCTGGAGGAAGCTGCAGCTGCCTATGAGGTCAGCTGTTGGGCTCTGGCACTTTCCCTCTAACCACCCAGGTCCATGCCACAGGTGATTGAGTAGAGAGGCAAAAACTGAAAGCTGCAACTTTACGTGGCTAGAAATCTAAAATATTCTGAGGAATTTGTACAGAGAGAAATGAGAGAAAGCAGAAAATGTGCATGGCAGAAAAAAATGAGGCAGCCATACAGAAGATACTCAGTCTACCACTAGGTTATGAGCCAAGCATGCTCTGGCTACACCACTTTGCTGCCTATGCCTCTGTTGGGAAGAAATTCTCATCTGTGTGTTTAGAGGGGAAAACATCCACCCTGTGCCGCAGCAAAGGGAATAATTCAGATGCAATTTAAGCCCAGGATCTTTAATCCATAAGAAGCAACTGTTGCCATGGAGCAGGCCCGTGGCCCTGAAGATCCCTGAGAGATCTGGCCCTGAGAAACTGGAGACTGGAAGGGAATCTATAAGGTTAATCCAACTTTATATTCTTTCTACTCTGATCCCAAACATATTTGCCAGGTTTCTGTTAATACAAAGATGTAAAATTGTACATTTCTTTTGATGTGTATCAGACCCCTTTATGGGTCACAATTTGTACTGTTTGACAAATATTGGGTCTTACATCTGGTTATAGGTCAAGTGCAAGGAGAGGTAGTGTAGGTAAGTACTGAAGAGGATCAGAATATCTTTGCAAGACAACTGTGGCACAGAAGGCCATATTAGGTTCCTATGGTCAAGGGAGGCTAAACTCAGGTGGGAAAGGAAGGGCTGGTTCTATTGGAAAGAAGACTCAGCAGATACATTGAAGGTATTTATAGGCATTGAAGACTCAGCTACTTTGAAATCTGCTCATGTTTTTCCATCCCAGTTTTCAAGATCTCATTCCCAATCAATGCCCTAACTTTAGTAAGAGACCCTGTAAGTTTGGGAACTCAATCTGCATTATAATCATGCCAATCAAAGGATTCAGCATTGGATTTGATATACATAAATCTCAGCCCTGCAGCTTTAGGAAATAAGATTTTCTTTCAGGGTAGCCACATACCCTGAAAGGTAAAATCCCTTATGTGGTCCTTGAGCTGGG